ATATTTACTGTATTAGAAATTAGAAATTAAAATTGAGAATTTAGAAGTAATTCCCTTGTATGTTGAACCATGGTTTTTTGTAGCACTGTTGAAATGTTGAGCTAGATAATACTTTTTCCTGGGGGCTGCCTTGTGCGCTGTAGGCTGTTTGGCAGCATCCCTGCCTGTCCTCACTAGATGCCAGCAGCACACTCTCCCCGCGCCACACGGGGACAACAGAGCATGTCTCCAGCCAGGGCGGGATGCTTCCTGGGGGACAAAATCACCCCTGATTGGGAACCGTAGTATGAACATAATATTTTCTAAAGGAGAGTTACTTTGCACAACAAAAACATTGAGTGGAAGTTGTGTCATTTATTTACATTTTTGCAAGTCTCTTTATGTCTGGTAATAGACATCAGCTGATCTCATGTATACCCTGTCTTCAGTCATTTGTGATTACTTCAGTTATCTTGATAATTTGTTTTGAAGAAACAATGTGAAGACCATGCCTCATGTAGCTGTATGGCTAGGAAAGGGAGTATTTTTAAAGCCTTCCGATAATTGTGGATATTCTTTGATACTGTACCCAAAGTCCACAAGTGCTGGTTTCTTAAATTAGTTACAGTGGAATTTTATTTTTTAATTTATTNATTTTAATTCATTTTTAAATACATCTTTATTGATTTCAGAGAGAGGAAAGGAGAGGGAGAGAGAGAGACAGAAACATCAATGATTAGAGAGTCATTGATCGGCTGTAGCCCACAACCCGGGCATGTGCCCTGACCGGGAATCGAACCCTGATCGCCTGGATCCCAGGTTGACGCTCAACCACTGAGCCACGCCTGGCCGGGCACAATGGAATTTTAAACCATATCTATGAACTTCTAGTAAGGTCTCTATTAAATTAATATCCATTCAGATATCTTGTATGCTGAATGAATCTTTTTATTGTAAATAACTTTATGATAATATTATGCATTGGTCATTTAGAAAGTATTGGCTCACATTACTTTATACAGTGTTAAAATTCACTGTTGTTAGTTAGCATCATATCACCACCAGTCTTCCCTGAAAGTCCCTTAAGTATTGAAAAGCTGTCAGGCTCACACAAAAAAGGTACAAGTTTTCCCCAGTCTTGATTTTTAGCTTGATAGCTTGAATTGCGTCACTGGTAGCAAATGTACAAGTTGTTTTCCTTGAAGTGACATGCTTACTTTTCAGTTTTGAGAGACTGACAGTTAAACTATCAAATAAAGATGTTATTCAATGAAAAAAGTCAGTTGTTCAGCTCACAACTAAGTCACAAGTACTTTTCCTTAACAACCACATTTCGGTATGCAGAAGTGCTTAATGCATACATTCCCCCTGTCAGATATAAATAAGAATCAGCGTTTAATAACACCATCCTTACTGCTTTGTCAAGGATGTTCTCCAGTGAAGCAGAATTTGTTTTTCAACCAGTGGCCGTGAGGAATAGAGTGACTCCTTCACTCAGGCTCAGAAGCCAGCTTTACTGACTTTTCTTTTATACAGTCATTGCAATGTCAGTGTAGACGCAGGCAATGCTTTAGGATTTCTATAAAAACAGTTTTGGCCTCATGTGTCTCCTGAAACTGGTCTAGGGGACCCCAGAGGCCTGCAAAACACATTTGGGGAACCACTGTGTGGAAAACTAAACTTAAAAATAATGAAGACTGGTTTTCCTGGCCAGTGAGGCTCAGTTGGAGCATCGCCCCAAGCTGGCAGGTTCCATTCCCAGGCAGGGCACATGCCCAGGTTGTGGGTTCGGTTCCATCAGGCCACGTTCCTGGGTTTCAGGTTCGATCCCCAGTTCGGCGTGTGCAGGAGGCAGCCTTTCCATGTGCNCCTTTCGATGTGGGTTTTTCCCTCTCTCCCCCTTCCTCTCTAAAACCAGTAACTGGTCATTTTTAAAATAAAAAGGCAAGTTTTTAACTCAGACTGTTTAAACAAGAAGAAACACACAATAATAATATAATATAGGAAACTAACAAGAGAAGCGAAACTGGGAAACATGAGTCTCGTATTCACATGAATGGCCCCGCTCCCGCTCGGTGACGCGCTCCTGTGTGGCCCAGGGCGAGGCAGCAGGTCGCGTCTGTCTGGGTGACCAGCGTCGCCTGTCAGGGAGGGTCAGCGCCTGGAGGGGCAGCTCTGGCTGCTCACTGTGGAGGAGATTTCACAGAATTGGATGTGCTGGGTAAAAAGAGGCCAGAAACTTCTTACGGAATCTAAGAGGAATTAGTGGGACTCTGTAGAAGGTTAAGCTTCTCCCTCCACCTCTCTCTCTATTCCCAGCAGATGTGTTACTAAAATATTAGCAATTCCTGGATTGGTTTTTAAAATCACCTTCTTATTTTATAGAGATGGAGACAGATCCAAGGACATTTTTGATGAAAGGCTGCACCCGCTGACAGTAAGTATCAGTTGTATTGAGGTTGTATTTTTTCCCTTATAATTGTGTTTATTTCATGATGATTTGCTTTGAAATTAATCACTAGAAGAAAATTACTACCTCCAACTCGAAGTCAAAATTATCTTTTTTTGGTTTTCTTCCTCACCTCATGTTGTATCTAATTATTTTGCAAAAAGAATGTTGTATAGGAAATATGTCAGTAAGAACTGAGCTTCAGCTTTGTACAGGTGGTGAGCTAAGGTGAGTAAACATGCCCCCTCCAGAAAAGTATTTCGTTTTAAAAGATAGTTTTCGGTAGCATCAAACAATATGAACATTTGTAAATAAACCTAACAGATATGTGAAGGTCTTTATGAAGAAAATTAAACAACTATTTAAATTTTGAATTAATTAGAATGACAAGAAAATTTCCAGTTCCCATCTTCGGATGCCCTAGAGCAATATGTGACTGCTGCCTGCTGTTTAGCACGGCACAGCCTTAGGGCCCTGTGGGTACAGGAAACTGGAAACACATTTTCAGAGTTGGTTGCAGAGAAGTAGGACATGAGGATGAACAAGTCCTTTGATCCTAAAGATAGTTTCCATTTAGATAGAATTCTGTATGGGGAAGGTGGAAAGGAACATGTAACTTTTCTGAGGTTGTGCCTGCATTCATCTTAAATGAGTGTAGGTATTGAATCACTATTGTTTTTTTAGGTCTCATTGTTTATATTTAAAAGACTAAAAGACATGTCACCCAATCAAAATTATTTTCAGGGGCACATGGGCACAGGTAGGAGATAGGTCTCCTGAAAGCACTTCATGTTTATCTTCAGTGGATACTTACATTGCATTTTTCCTTCTTTCAGCAGGAAGCGGTTCCAGAGGAAAACTTTGATGATAATCCTGATCCCCAATCTATTTATACATTCATTCGGCCTTTTTTCAATGCCCTAAAGCTAACAGCTGAATTTTCAATAACAACTTTGGTAAGAGTTCTTTCAGAACTTTATTAAGGGAAACCTATCAAAGGAATTGAAATACACACATTTAAGCTTAATAATCATTATAATTTCAAATCCCCTTGCTTTTGTCATCCCAAAAGAGTTGCTATTAAAGGCAGCAGGAGAGGTTTCCGGTTTCTCCCTCCACACCTCGAGACGTGCACATGCAGTGCACACATGTGCACACCTACAAGGTGTGCTGATGGGGCAGGATGTTGGCAATAACAAAACCTTGTGGGCCCCAGGCAGTGACCGAATCAGTGTAGGCGTAAGCTGAGTCCCAGGCTGTATTCCCCAGGCAGTCCTAATGTGTGTCCTCATTGGAAACTAGAGCTCTAAATTATCTGTTCTTTGGATGATGGGTGTTCATCCATCCTTGCTGTCCTCTTGTGCCTGCCCATGAAGTTGCCCAGGATTCTAGTTGCCTGCTAAGCTACAGCTGTGTGAGGACCTTTGTGTCATTCATACAGAATTCCTATGGTCCGATTTTATCATCTGGAATAGGTGGTCCTATTCTAGTGAGAAGTAATGGGATTGTACTAATTCCTGCTCCAGCAAACCTAAAGGGGAAAGTCTGCTGCTTGGTCTGGAGGGAAAGATTCCTTAGGTCAGTGCCGCCTCCTTCAGTATTCAGTTCAAACCTTGGAGGGGCAGCCTGTGCTTCTGAATAGAGACCCCTGAATGGGCAATGGGTCAGATGCAGGACTTTTCATGGAGCTACCAGCCACTTGGAGCGCTTAGCACATGCTGGAGAAAGGCAGGAGTGGGGCTCCCATGAGGGGAGCAAGTGATACAGGAGGGAGAGCATCTGGGTGGGAGGAGGCGAGTCCTTTGTAGACGAGTTAAGCTCGATGCACCTACAAGACAGCAGAGTGGAGGTCTCTAGAAATCACTCCAATGCATGGAATTAGAGCATGGATCTGAGCTAGAGGTAGGGAATTAGGATTAGCTGTTCAAATGCAGAAAAAGAATGTGAATAAAAAGTGTATAGAAGACAGAAGAGTGACATGAGTAGATNTCGGGTCTTTTGTAGACGAGTTAAGCTCGATGCACCTACAAGACAGCAGAGTGGAGATCTCTAGAAATCACTCGAATACATGGAATTAGAGCATGGATCTGAGCTAGGGTTAGGATTAGCTGTTCAAATGCAGAGAAAGCATGTGAATAAAAAGTGTACAGAAGATAGAACAGTGACATGAATAGGTATTCAGTGGACATTTATGGAATTAGCAACTGCTTGGCAGCATTTAGCATTTTCATCACACTCTCTCTCTTGAACCTCACTTATCTTGACTTCTTTTTGTTATTTTCTAATTGGCCACAACCCTAAGCCACCCCTGGGCCCTTCTCCCTTTAGTGTGATAGTCCTTACAGATCTAAGTGCTGAGGATGGAGAGACCTCACTGGACTGGGAAGATGAGGAGCTCTGTCCTTACAGGCAGAGGGGACAAGTGCAAGATTATGAGATGGGAATGTGTTTTTTGTGATTGAGAAACAGTGAGGTATGGCCATTGTGCTCTGAGTGGAATGAGGGAAAGAATGTAGGACATGAGGCCATAGAAGGACAAGTTGTATATTACAGGGTTTTGTAGCTGGCAGACCATGGGAAGAAGTTCCATTTTTATTTGGTTGATGGGAATCCTTTGGCAGATATTGAGCAGGGGAGAGAAGTGCTCTTAGTTAGAGGCCGTCCTGGCTACTTTTGGGGAGAAGAGACTGTAGCTGGGAGTCCGAGTGGAGACCAAGAAGTCAGGAGCAAATAACAGTGACACAGGTGAGAAGTGACAAATAGAAGAGATAGCAGCCTGATTTCCAATGACAGGTGGAGATGACAAGAATTGCTAACTGATTGGAGCAGGGTAACTCAATTGGAAGTTTTTGGCCAAGCACCTAGACCAGTGACAGTGCCCTATATGATGTTAGGGAGTGCTTGGGGAGGGGGGATGAAGAGCTCCGGTTTGCATGCCTGAAGGCACCGATGGCCTTAGCAATAATGCTTTCAGTAGAGTGTCAGTGCCAGGGGCAGACTAAAGTGGGTTAGGGAGAGAATGGGAGATGAGAAGCCTCATCAGGGCATTTCCTGTGAACAGCATGAGGAAGCAGTCTTGGGGTTGCAGGGGGTGGGAGAGGAACAACATAAACACATTCACATTGAGGGCAGTCTCCGGAGGACAGAG